AGAAAAGTAGCAGGACCTGTATGAAAGATAATTGTGAAAACCATCTTTCTAGGCCGATTCATTTTGGTCTTTTTAGTTATGAGCATATATAATAGGTAAGATATAGCCGGACAGTCTTCTTGGCCTAAACATTTACAAGAATAAGTTCCAGCTCTGATGATGTGCATCGAATGATGGACAAAAGTTGACCCGTTCTCACCCGATGCGGGAGGATGCCTCGTGGACTGTCAACCTGAAAGTTGTAGTAAAGCTAAACGGCCGCAGAACGACGGAATTCAACCGTCGTCTTCTGGTGAAATCGACATTCGAATCTCTTCTTCATGCAATTTCATACGAAATAAAAGTATCCCCAGAAAACCATTTACTCTTCCTGCCTTTCAGTAGGCAGCCTTTCAGTAGGTGATCCGTTAAGCCTGGTTGCATCATCGTGGGACAATTCTCCCTTAATCCCAGTAAACGAATGAAGCACTTTTTCGAGGATAACTGATCTTTTTCATACATACCATAGCCGAAAAGACGAGAAAGGCCAGACTTCGCATGTATCGTCTGCTGTGTATGCTAGCCGCAGAGGGTATCAGCACCGGCAAATTAGCCGAGGAATTCCGAGGAATGCACCCCCCTTTTCAGGCTGGCCTACCCCTCCCTCCTCGCGGTACCTCAGCCGACTTCGAATGTCTTCTTCACTGTCTGGCAGCAGACGTCTGCTCTACTCGCCGCCTCGGGACTGTGTTGGGAAGAAATGCAATGAGCCGCTTTTGCGCATCCTTCACGCCCAGATACAGCGCGCTTAGGCCACAAATAACTCGGCCCAGGCAACACAATTCAGCCCACGCTGATCGGCCAACCACGACTGGTCGGTAGGCCTAGCGACAGTCGTCAGCCGGGCAGTGGGAGCCAAGACAACGGAACCGCTCCAGACAGAAGCACCTCGTGGAAGTCGGGCTGCCTGAGGAGGCAGTTAGCGACACGAGTGCACATCCATCATTGGTGGCAACAAGAGACAGGCTTCTGATGCGCCCATCTGCCCGTGGCGAGAGGTTGAGGTCGATGCGGCTGGGCAGATGTAGCCAAAGTCGTGGTCGGCTGCGCTACTACCGAGAGGGCGGCATCAAGTGCACCCCAACCGCCGAATCCGGCCAGCCCGAAAGGCCGAAGGCAGAAGACTCATGAATCGAGAGAAAAGCCTTTCGAAGAGCCCGGCCTCAAGGCTCAAATCAACTGGCGCAATCCGCCATCGCTTGGCTCATTTTACTGGCCAGCCTTGGCCACAGTGATTGAAAGGGATGCCATAAGGTTCTTTGACTTTGATACCAAACCGTCAATACAAACTGTCATGACATACTCATAATTGACAAGATCTGATCCGAGAGCGCAGTTAAAGACTAACTGCAAATACTCTTCTATTGCAGCTACGGAGCGTAATTGGACGTTGTGCTAGTGAATTTGGATATGAGTAGTCTTCGAGAACATCAGTAATTCTTAAATAAGTCCTTAGTCAGAAAAGGGTTGACGTCGTTTTCAAAACTTGGTCGTGTTGTCAAGTCATTCTCCATAGTAGTCATTCCTAGCGCCAAGGTACAACTCGTCAAAGAGACAAGTGAAGAACACCTCTTGAACAACTTGTGTTATCACTCCTCTTTCTGTCCTGGCACATCTACCTGCCCTCCTCCTCAATGAAGATGTCGGCGAAACGTTTGCATACGAAGAAAAGTTGGGTTTCGAGTAATCTCTTGTTTCATAATTGTTGGGATTACTTCCA